GCGTCGGAGGCGGATCAGCCTTATTGAATGGAAGTAATCAGAGTGTCTTCAGTTGAATTTCCGCCTTAGCTTAATTTCTGCAGTTTTTTACCAAAACTCTTCCACAACAGCTTTTCCCCCGCCGCCATCAGACTGTTGAGAAAACTCTAAATCATGTCACAGACAAACCAGAAATACTGCATAATTGCACCATATATATTAATGCTCTGAACTTCCATATCAGTGCAAAAAAAAAAATATGAAAACGTTTGGCTTTATTGTTAGCCAAACGACCCCCATTCCAAAGGTGGGGACCCGTTCATCCGTTTCTATTTGCATATTTTCTAAATAAAAACCAGGCTTTGTTGGGCTGCTGGATAAAACCTGGAACTAAACGCTATTTCTGACATTTTGAACTGAAAAATCTTCCTGGATGGAAGAGAAACGTCTTCAAACTTGGAAACAAAGTCCAGAGGATTGATTTTAATTTTCTTTTTTTGGAACGATTATGACTTGGATGACCAGCATTTTCCACATCAGTGCATTTTTGCACCATATTTTTTTCTCCCAAACTGTTTACATTTGTTCACTGCTGCGCTTTATAGAATGGAAATTTTTCTGAAAGCTGTACAAAACGAAATTTCGCAGTGGTTAGGGCCAGAGTGCGAAATACGCACATGGGACCCCCTGAAAGCCTCAAAAGCAAAATTTAAAGGGGGTCTTAAATTGTGCCAAAAAATAAAAAATAAAATATTTTTTTATCACTAATGGTCACTAAAATGTTTTTTAAGCTCAACATGTCCAGTATTAAAATTTAAAACCTTTATTTTTTGCCAAGTGGAGCCAGCCAATCCTGTTCGCATATGCAAATTAGCCATGTGCTTTTCCGCAGTTAATAACACGGGCAACGCGGAACAGATTGCGCAAAGACAGCAGGTCTTCACTCCTGGACCTCAACTGACCTCTGGACAAATTCGATCCAGTCGGTATTGCGCAACAATCGGGAGATGGGGACCCCCTCAAATATTGACAGTTATTTCGCGCACTGGTTAGAGCGCACGACCCTTGTACGGAGGCCTTGGTCCTCA